AGAACTAGGACAGCAAGATTTCCTTGCAGGGCAGTTCTAGCTTGTTCAATGGCATCATCTTCTTCATTGGAGAGCTGTTCCTGGATTTCTGCCATTTCTTCCATTGTGATTCCGGAGTCATAGGTGAAGCAATCTTCAAACTGTTAGAGAAGAGACTGGTATTGTACAGCATGGGGATGAAATTGTGGATCAATCCAACGGCTTGATGGCTCAGTTTGAGTGAGGATGATTCTTTCTTCTCTTCGCAGACCCGGATAAGTTCTTCTATTTGCTGCAGGCCGACTAGAACCTCCATATCTTCCGGCACCACCTCTGTTGGCCATTCTGTAAATGAGAACAATGAATAAACGAGTCGAGAAAGAGCATCGGCTAAAGTATTATCAGAACCATTAATATGTTCTAAAGATACTTCAATGCCTTGATGGAGGAATAGACAGATTTGGCAGTTTCTGGATTTTGGCCTTGATCATATGGATCAAATCCCAGTCTTGAGCATTTAATCTCTTCTCACCATTTGGGCTGACCTTAGAATATAATGGGCTTAGCATTCGGCCCAAATCCTTGATGTAATGCCTGGCATAGTTGAGAAGGCCCAACCAAGAGCGTAAGCCCTTAGTTTCTTTGAGAGTATTATCTGGGAATTGGGCTACCTTGGTAACAATGTGGGGTTGCAGCTTGATTTCCCCTTGCCCAATTGTTGACCCTAGAAAATCCATTTGAACCGCGGCAATTTTCATTTTTGTTGGGCTTAGGATGAGCCCAATAATCGATCGTACACAATTGAAATCAAATCTAGGCTAAGAATATAAGAACTAGATAGAAAACATTCAGACCTTAGATTTAACTTCAAAGATTACAACGGAAGACTCTGAACTTCAAGTACCAAGTGTAGTTGATCTAACTTGTCTTGATGCTTGATACACTAAACTTCGACTTTATTTATAGACTTTCAAGAGATAAGATAGATAAAGGTAGAGGATACGTGCCGAGTGTTCATTGGACCTCATCGTCGCACTATCGCAAACCTTATCAAGAATCTTATCATTACAAAGACATCCAACTTTTACAAAATATCATACAAACGACAAACTACTTTGAATAATATTCCAACAGCTTTTCTCAGTTGTTCACTGAGTAGTGATTGAAGTGGAATATTATTGACAGGTACAGGGACCCACCACGACCTTCCACACATTATTGATCAAGCATTATTAACAAACACTGTTGACCAATATTATTGGCATACACAGGGACCCACTCTTATTCTTATCAGAAACGAAACAACCTCATCAGCATGACGACGTCGAATAATTCGTTGTCTATCTCCTGTGGGGTTGCAGCTTGATTTCCCCTTGCCCAATTGTTGACCCTAGAAAATCCATTTGAACCGCGGCAATTTTCATTTTTGTTGGGCTTAAGATGAGCCCATTCTTCTTGCAAATTTCAAGCATGGACTGGATATGCTTTGAGTGCGTCTTTTCATCTGGAGAGAAAACCAGAATGTCATCAATGTAGACCGCAATATAATCTTCAGTTCCTTTGAAGCACAAGTCCATTTTCCTTTGAAATACTGCTGGAGCATTCTTTAATCTAAATGGCATGACCAGCCATTCGTATAATCCAAGGGGTGTCCAGAATGCAGTCCATTCAATAGAATCAGGATGCATAGCAACCTGATGGAATCCACTCTTCAAGTCAAACTTGGAGTAAATACTACTATGACCAATTTTTGCCATTATAGTATTTATACCAGGTAGACTGTATTGATCCTTATGGGTGTTATCATTCAGCCTCTTGTAATTGCACACCATTCTCTCTTTGCCACGTTTCTCTTCCTTCGTGACAGGATCAATGTATGTACCAGAATTTACGATGAATGCAGTGGTACGATGTCGACTTTTACTTGGCCTGATTACCTTAAGTTGTAGAAGCTGTTCAATATGCTTTCCAAAACTCTCATTCATTGCTGGAGTCACATGCTTCATTGGCCTATCGTTGATTGTAAAATCGGGATTCTTCAGGTCCAACTTACAGGTAATCTGATTGAGTGACCAATGTTTCATAGGATCATCACCTATGATTCCGTAATTTTTGAGCTGCTCCATTAGCTTTGAGAATTTTTGCTCAAAATGGGGGCTGACTTTAGTGGAGTGGAATATCCATTCTGATGAAGGATCATAATAGTTGTCCACTGTAAAGTCGTCTTCTTCTTCAAGCCCTTCCAGAAGATTGACTGTTTGACGAGTCTGAATTGTTATTACATTCTTGTAGAATGTAACATTATCTCCTTCAATTCTGACGCCTCCATACATCGCTCGGATAAAATTACATCCGATAATCATCTGGATTCCTCCTCCAAGGTGGAATGGGAAACTGTATGTATAAGGGATCCGAAACCAATTATCCCCTATGTACATCTTTCCACCCTTCAACTTCTTATTTGCCTTTGATTGTGAATTTATACCATTAAATTCAACGGTATACGAATTTTCTTCCAAGGCATCAGCTGGGACGGATTCAGAGTCTACGACGCAAGTTGTTGCTCCAGTGTCTAGTATTGCGTGTAGAGAGATCTTCTGTAGACCAGGAATTTCCAGTTCCACAGTGAATGTACTCCTGTTGCTCCTGTAGTAATGGCTTTTGATTATAGGGAATTGGAGCCTTCCGAGTGATGAACGTTGTGAGGTTGAAGTAATGCTTGGCACATAGTGCGCATGTTAAAGCATTACATTTGTTGCAGAAAGCCTTCGAGTATGAGGATAAATCCCTTTTGCATGTTGTACACTCCGGTCTTCTATCTTCTGGTAATGGGTTCTGTTGATCCCATTCATGTTGACAATGGTAAATTTCTGGAGTGACCTTAACTTGTGCCCTGTATCCTCCTTCCTTTCCAAGCCAATATTGTTTATCAGCTTCTCGAAGCATATAGATTGATTCCATCAAACCTCCGCCAATATGTTCAGTATCATCAAATCCTTCCGATACTGAATAAATTGCATCTGAGTCTTCATCTCCTGGTTCGACGGACATGACATCATAATCTTCAGGAATACTCAGATTTTCAAAGACAGCTACCCTTTTGACATTCTTCTTCTCCTTCGTGCAATCTCTTGCATAATGTCCTTCTTCCCCACATAGATAACATTTGCAGTGCTTCGTTTTTTGCAAGTATTTTCTCTTGTCAATTCGAACATGAGAACTATGTGGTTTTCCTTTATAAGTGGTAGCTTTGCGAACGCCAAACTTCTTCTCTGGTTCTTTATAATACCCAGGGATAGGGATTTCCCTGCAAAAGTCCAGATTACGAAGTGATTTCTGGAATGCTGCATTCTTGCACTCAGCTGCCAGGTACTTGTATGTATAAAGAATTCGAGGAACGACGGCAATTGTATTTGCTCCATGTCGTTCTGCAAATCCTTTCTTGATCCGTTCTCCAAGGTCACCTGGCATTTTCGACCATAGCTTGGAAGATAGCTCTTCTCCGATGAATAATCTTCCTGACTTTGTGGCAAGATGAAGATAATCATTTAAGAACTTTATGATATCCTTCACATCCCTGCATGAAAGTCTTTCCAGGTCACGATAAGCTTCTTCCTGCATCAGGGTTGAGCCTTGATAAGGATCCTCCAAGGTGAACACAGTCCTCATTTGAGAAATGATGTTCTGTGTACCTTCATTTCCATCTCCTATGGCGATAAGATTAGCATATTCATCAGTATATCTCATACGCCATTGTGTCCATATCAATTTCTCCGTTTCTCCAAGGAGATTTTCCATGAACATCAGTTTATCCCGAACATCCGTGAATCCTTGAGATGCAACATGGGTTCGTGTGATCGACTCCCATCTCATAAAAACATCATCAAATTTTCCAAGAGCTTGTGGAATAATGAACATGGCTCCTGTTTGATGCATGGCAGATGGTAGGTTCCACATCTCATTCCTGTTGTCTCGCCTGAAATTCGTTCGAGCTCCAGAATACGACAGCCTATCTGGGATATTAATGTTAGGACCTTGTCCTGTTGCTGGTGGATAGCCTGGGGGACCCATTATTGAATCCTGTGGAGGATTATAATTGGAGACTGCTGATGATGAAGAAAGAAGATAATGGGGCTGTTGTTGTTGTTGTTGTCGCCTTGCAATTAACGCCTCCAGTTTCTTTATTTGCGGATACTCCGTCTCCGTTTCTTCTTCCATCATGGCAATTATGTTGAGTGTAGAGTCAGAACCAGAGTCTGATTCTTCTTGTTTGTACATCAATGTCTTCCCCGTGCTTCCAAATCCTTCCGTGCTTCTTCGGATATCTCGAAGATTGAGGGCATCTTTTTCAACCATTCTTGGTAAAGACACCTTCTCAAAGATAATCTGAGCGATTCTATCTCCAGCACGAACTATGAATTCCTCATGATTGTGATTGAAAAGAAGTATTTTAACTTCTCCTCGATAATCGGGATCAATAACTCCTGCTCCAATATCAATTCCATGTAGTAGAGCAAGTCCTGATCTGGGGGCTATCCTCCCGTAGAGTCCGTAAGGTATTTCCATGGCTAAACCAGTAGAAATTAGTGCTCGTCCATTGGCTGGAATTATGTATCTGGCTATTGATGTTAAATCATAGCCAACAGCTCCATCGGTTGCTCTACTTGGTCTGGATACGTGTGGTGCGAGTCTGATAAAATGAACAGCATCGAAGCCTTCGTACTCACTCATAGGGTAACATGTGCGGCAAAGTTTTTCCTGCTTTTTACCCTTCTTCTTGCTTGCTCTTTGTGGTTGTGGCTTTGATGATTCAGAATCAGATTCGGGCTCGGGCAGCATCCTTCTCTCACCACCTTCCGTTCGCCGTTGGAAATCTTCATATCGAGCGCTGGCTTGATCAAGAGTTTCCTTGAAAACATTCGGTTGTTCTTCAAAGAACAACAATGTTTCTTGCCGAAGTATCTTTAGAATGAAGATTACTACAGGAGCAACAGGAGTACATTCGTTGGTGTGAAGCTGAAATGAAGAGGCTCCGAGAAGAAGCCATCCAATACAAGACGGAGCTGGAAGAACTCAAATTAATAATTCAGCTACAAGATGATGAACGAGAACTCAGAAGGAAAGGCAAATACAAGGAAGAAGAGCTTCGTGTTTTAGAAGAAGAAGCTTTCTCTCCAGATGAAAAGACGCACTCAAAGCATATCCAGTCCATGCTTGAAATTTGCAAGAAGAATGGGCTCATCCTAAGCCCAACAAAAATGAAAATTGCCGCAGTTCAAATGGATTTTCTAGGGTCAACAATTGGGCAAGGGGAAATCAAGCTGCAACCCCACATTGTTACCAAGGTAGCCCAATTCCCAGATAATACTCTCAAAGAAACTAAGGGCTTACGCTCTTGGTTGGGCCTTCTCAACTATGCCAGGCATTACATCAAGGATTTGGGCCGAATGCTAAGCCCATTATATTCTAAGGTCAGCCCAAATGGTGAGAAGAGATTAAATGCTCAAGACTGGGATTTGATCCATATGATCAAGGCCAAAATCCAGAAACTGCCAAATCTGTCTATTCCTCCATCAAAGTGCGTCATTATTCTTGAAACTGACGGATGTATGGAAGGATGGGGAGGCATTTGTAAGTGGAAGCCAGCTGCGAATGATCCTCGCTCCACTGAAAAGATTTGTGCGTACGCAAGTGGGAAATTCAATCCCATCAAATCAACAATTGATGCTAAAATATATGCGTGCATGAATTCCTTGGAATCCTTCAAGATATATTATCTTGATAAACCACAGCTAACCCTAAGAACTGATTGTCAGGCCATAATCAGTTTTTTCAACAAAACAGTGGAACATAAACCGTCACGGTCTAGATGGATTGCATTCACATGACCAGCCATTCGTATAATCCAAGGGGTGTCCAAAATGCAGTCCATTCAATAGAATCAGGATGCATAGCAACCTGATGGAATCCACTCTTCAAGTCAAACTTGGAGTAAATACTACTATGACCAATTTTTGCCATTATAGTATTTATACCAGGTAGACTGTATTGATCCTTATGGGTGTTATCATTCAGCCTCTTGTAATTGCACACCATTCTCTCTTTGCCACGTTTCTCTTCCTTCGTGACAGGATCAATGTATGTACCAGAATTTACGATGAATGCAGTGGTACGATGTCGACTTTTACTTGGCCTGATTACCTTAAGTTGTAGAAGCTGTTCAATATGCTTTCCAAAACTCTCATTCATTGCTGGAGTCACATGCTTCATTGGCCTATCGTTGATTGTAAAATCGGGATTCTTCAGGTCCAACTTACAGGTAATCTGATTGAGTGACCAATGTTTCATAGGATCATCACCTATGATTCCGTAATTTTTGAGCTGCTCCATTAGCTTTGAGAATTTTTGCTCAAAATGGGGGCTGACTTTAGTGGAGTGGAATATCCATTCTGATGAAGGATCATAATAGTTGTCCACTGTAAAGTCGTCTTCTTCTTCAAGCCCTTCCAGAAGATTGACTGTTAATAGGGAATTGGAGCCTTCCGAGTGATGAACGTTGTGAGGTTGAAGTAATGCTTGGCACATAGTGCGCATGTTAAAGCATTACATTTGTTGCAGAAAGCCTTCTCAAAATCCAGCAGCTCAAGTTGGAAGCCATCGCCAGAGCAGCAACCAATGACAACCTGTACGGAGACAAACTACCTGAAGTCCATCAGCAAACCTGCGAGCTCAAGGAGATAGACAACGAATTATTCGACGTCGTCATGCTGATGAGGTTGTTTCGTTTCTGATAAGAATAAGAGTGGGTCCCTGTGTATGCCAATAATATTGGTCAACAGTGTTTGTTAATAATGCTTGATCAATAATGTGTGGAAGGTCGTGGTGGGTCCCTGTACCTGTCAATAATATTCCACTTCAATCACTACTCAGTGAGTAACTGAGAAAAGCTGTTGGAATATTATTCAAAGTAGTTTGTCGTTTGTATGATATTTTGTAAAAGTTGGATGTCTTTGTAATGATAAGATTCTTGATAAGGTTTGCGATAGTGCGACGATGAGGTCCAATGAACACTCGGCACATATCCTCTACCTTTATCTATCTTATCTCTTGAAAGTCTATAAATAGAGTCGAAGTTTAGTGTATCAAGCATCAAGACAAGTTTACCATGGCTAAACCAGTAGAAATTAGTGCTCGTCCATTGGCTAGAATTATGTATCTGGCTATTGATGTTAAATCATAGCCAACAGCTCCATCGGTTGCTCTACTTGGTCTGGATGCGTGTGGTGCGAGTCTGATAAAATGAACAGCATCGAAGCCTTCGTACTCACTCATAGGGTAACATGTGCGGCAAAGTTTTTCCTGCTTTTTACCCTTCTTCTTGCTTGCTCTTTGTGGTTGTGGCTTTGATATTGATCCTGATTATCGAGGAGATGCCACCCCAAAATATGTCTTTCACATAGGCATGAATCCACCTATGTCTCACAGTATAATACCCCCAACCACTCATTATCATTCAAATTGAATTTTGTAATCATTGCTTCCCAATATTCATCAAATTCATCTTTTGTGAATGAATCATAAACTGCATCACTCAAAACAGCCTTAATGGATTCATATTGCGAATATCCTCTCAATTTCTCTGGAATTTTCTTTATTATGTGCCATAAACACCAACGATGTTGAGCATGTTGGAAGACAATTTCTATGGCATTTTGCATTGCTCTACACTGGTCAGTTATTATAGCTTTTGGGGAGAGCATCTGACATGCAACTTATAATTTCTTGCATCTCGTTCATCAAACATTAATGTCTCATATCCCCCCGCTTCAACAACTATAGAATGAAAATTCCTAGCCACCCCAATCCCTGCTGCATCATTAACTTCTAATCTCCTTTTCACCGAAGTAAGAATCCTCTTATTCATTGCAAAATGCTGTGAGTCAGTAAGAATCAAATCATGAGTGTGCTCAAGCACAACTGTGGTTAACTTATATCTTCCATTAGTTTGTAGACTGGCTCTTACCCTTGCTTTACAATCAATTTTTGATGACAAAGATGGTTCCAGGGGATTTACTTCTAATCTTTTTGTTCTATTCCTAGCCCAAGTACATTCAATTCCAAAGTACTTCACTTCCCCATCCGTTGTTACATTTTGTGTTCTATAAGCTATAGCAAATTCAAGTTGTTTCGCATATTTTGCATAAAATGCGTACACTTCTTGCTTTGAGTTAAAATACATCCCCTTCTTCGGTTCTTCAACTTCATCGCTCTCATTAAATTCAAGATTGTTATCATGTTCTTCAACTTCCTCACTCACATTGAATGAATTATTGTTTGAGTCAATATCCATTGTAGCTTCAAAGTGAAATAAAATAGACATTTAGAGAGAAACTCAATTTAAGTTTAACAATACAAATACAAATTCTTCAAACCAATAATAACACAAAGAAACTCAATTCACTGGTATGAATGATTATGATACATTTACTTCAAACAGTAAACAAAGCAAGTTCAATTCAAATTCAACATTATGTTGTCCCTGTTCATTTTCAAATGTGGGGTCTGTTTTAAATCAATGTCAATGTTTAACTGTGGGTCTGTTTGAAATGAATGTCCAAAACACCTCCTTCCAAAAAACTTAAAAACAAGCCAAATTCTACAAAATCCACTCAAACATTCACATTTGTTTGTAAGCACACATGATCAAATAGCCAGAAGAATAATTCCTTAGAGGCAGAATCCCTCCCAGCAGAGTACCTCCAATGTCTAAAAACTTGTTCATAAAAATTGCCCATATTGTTCCCTACAATACTCAATACTTGTTCATAAACAGTAAATCAAAACATAAACATAAACATTGATCAATTCAAAACGTAAACAACTTTAAATCAAATCAAATCAAATAGTTGTTAATTTTTTCTGAGCAATACTTGTTCTCAATACTTGTTCTCAAATAAAAATCAAAAACTTGTTCTAAATACTTGTTCTCAAATAAAAATCAAAAACTTGTTCTCAACACTTGTTCTCAATACTTGTTCTCAAATAAAAATCAAAAACTTGTTCTCAATACTTGTTCATTTTGCTCTAAGCAAAATCAAATCAAACACTTATAAACCCTAAATTTAAAACAAAACCAACTAAGAGCATGAACAGCACACCCACCTGTAAGAGCAGCCACACCGTTCACACAGCAGCAGCATCGCACCCTTTGGACACACAGCAGCAGCGTCGCCACGCACAGCAGCAATGGCAACCCGTCTGGCACACACAGCAGCAGCGGAAGCACCCGCACACACAGAACCAGCACGAGCCTCGTCGGCACACACAGAAATCGGCGATATGGGTCGCGATATGGGTCTCCTCTCTTTCTCTCTCTACTCTGTTTATCTTTTTTTTTTTTTTTTTTTGAAATGAAAGGTAAACTGAAATGAATAACAATGGAGGTGTAGAAAGATATGTGAGTGTATATAAAATTCGAGCCATTTTTTGAGCCACAGATTCGAGCTACCAATCTTTTCTGTAAACATTGATCAATTCAAAACGTAAACAACTTTAAATCAAATCAAATCAAATAGTTGTTAATTTTTTCTGAGCAATACTTGTTCTCAATACTTGTTCTCAAATAAAAATCAAAACTTGTTCTAAATATTTGTTCTCAAGTAAAAATCAAAAACTTGTTCTCAAATAAAAATCAAAAACTTGTTCTCAATACTTGTTCATTTTGTTCTAAGCAAAATCAAATCAAACACTTATAAACCCTAAATTTAAAACAAAACCAACTAAGAGCATGGACAGCACACCCACCTGTAACAGCAGCCACACCGTTCACACAGCAGCAGTGTCGCACCCTTTGGACACACAGCAGAAGCGTCGCCACGCACAGCAGCAATGGCAACCTGTCTGGCACACACAGCAGCAGCGGAAGCACCCGCACACACAGAACCAGCACGAGACTCGTCCGCGGCAGCACCAACCTCGTCGGCACACACAGAAATCGGCAATATGGGTCGCGATATGGGTCTCCTCTCTCTCTCTCTCTCTCTACTCTGTTTATCTTTTTTGTTTTTTTTTAATTTGAAATGAAACGTAAAACTGAGATGAATAACAAAGGGAGGTGTACAAAGATATGTGGATGGGTATAAAAGTCGGGCCATATTCGAGCCACAGATTTCGAGCTACCAATCTTTTTTGTTTTAATCCTCACTCACATGCAATATAATGATAACTAGAATCATTTATTTTATAAATTTTTAACATAAAATATATATATATATATAAATTAACTTAGAGATTGATTAAAGTAATTTAAATAGATATACTTTTTAACATAAAAAGATGTATATAAAAATAAAAAATTAATGTGACCTACATAATATACTTATCTAAATACATACAATTATTTAAGAAATCACAAACAAGCTCTTGATTGAACATTGAGTTCTTCACTCTTTTAGTTTATTATCAATTTATCCTAATATATATACCTGCATAAATATATTGTATTTGAAGTTTCAAATCAGACTTCAAATTCTCTTCCAAAACCCAACCCACAATTACAAACGGGCCTGAATCACAAACTATACACACAGTAGACAAGGATTTTAGGGGATGCATTCAAATTGTAACCACTCCACCTTAATTAAGACAACAAATTGCCCTGAAGCAGGACTTTATCCTACACTTGCCACTATTTCCATTAGGAGGTCAAAAGAAACAACATTCGATTCATCAAATTATTAGTGAGTTCCTAAAATTCTTCAGAGGTGAAATTGTGTTGCTGCCATTTCAAGACGATATGTCCCATGGAATGTGTTATTATTGGTATATACATAGACAATGAACCATACACTCAGGAGAGAGGATGTGACCGTGGTCAGTTGCTGATATCAAAGTATTTTGGATCTGCTGGAAAATGGTATTCCACGTTCAACTGCCATGAAACACACAAAAAAATGTCACACATGTACACAAGCTTAGATATTAAAAAAAGAGATTTCATTTATTTCCTGTTCAGATCTTCAGCACGCTAGCACTATAAAGACATTGCAGACTTCGATGAAACACACTTGGTAACATTTGCAATATAAGAAGCATAAACACCATATACCTAAAAAAAAAAGAAGAAGAAGAAGAAGAAGAAGTAAAAAAGAACAGAATCAGGTCTAAAAGCAGTCTTAAGCCTACAATGTGAAATTGAACAACATACCTTCCCCTCGTCAGCATCAGAATGGCGTTGAGGAAAAACAACCCTCATATCATTGTATAAATAAAATCTCCTTTTCCTATCAGCATCTAACTTTGTTTTCTGTGGCACAGATGGAGGATCAGATTTGCACCTCCGAACTGATATCACACTTCTCTTAGAGAAAGGGCATAGAAAACGGACATGAAGAGCATAACGTAGAGTGCCACCACTCGCAGCATTCTCATTGACCTTTGAACAAGCATGTTCTGATTTATCTTTGGCTTCATGGCATAAATCTGGCCAACTGAAATCTCTGTGACCAGTTCCGTGGCACAGAGTGTTGTCACATTCATTCTGATCTATAAGGGAAGGGAAACCTATATTTCCAATGTGATAGTGTTCTTCTAAAAAATTTGTTATACCCATTGGACCTATCAAATTAGAGCCCTCACTTTCTTTGATACTTTGGTCAGGATGACTTCTTTCCAAGGGAGTCACCTTATCGTTGTAGTTCGTGTCAAAATTTCTGTGCTCTCCTGTCACCCGCGTTGAAGTTGGGCCAGAACCGGCTAGGGTAACCTTCTGACGCAAGAATGTCTACTCCAAATTGAACAAGGACGCAAAAATAATTACCGACTGAATTCAATTCCAGTCTTACTGCTAGAAGCAAATAAAATAAAAGTGTAATAAGAAAACAACAGTGCATGCAATGATGTGCTGATAAACAATTCTTCGCCATATATTCATTTGAAGTGGGCATCAAAGCTTACAAGACTTTGGTCCCTGATATATTTTCCTGTTATTTGGTAATAATTGGGCCTGATTATCTTTCTACTGTGTGTCTCCATTTTTCTCCATTTTGCAATACATGTGCAGGCATAATAGAACATCCAATATTTCAGACCAACACATAAATATTAGACTCAAGATCCATTTACTACTTACAGCATTCTCAAATTATCACAAGAGAATCACTTTTTCTTTTATCTTCTATTAATTCTTTGTTTTCATTTTGCCCTCCTTTCATACAAAGGATTCAAGTCATGATTATCCTATTCAGCTTCAACACAGTACCTACCCAGTGCCACCAGGGACCTACTTCTTCCTTTTTCTGTTTTCTTTTTGTGCAACCAAAATGGGTAGAAGGGGGGAGACCCGGAGGTGATATACCTGTGTGGGAACAGGCCTTTAAAATGACAGTTGAGGAGGTAAGGTCAATACATGTGATTGGCAGTGAGAAACTCGGAGGAACACAAACACTTCTAGGATTGTGATTAGGCAGACTAAATATCAAGCTTTTAGGAAATTGCAGAAAAGTTAAAAGCAATAACCAACATCTGATATGAATGCTATATTTGTTTCAACTTACCTTGGTACCAGCCGGCATGTCACTCAAATCATAGTCACAAAAGAAGGAATGAAGAGGTGTTTTTTCCGGGTTGCTTAGAACCTGAGAAATCATCCAGATTGATAGAAAGTGAGGACCAATTGTTTCACCATATATCCACGACTTATGTCATTAAAATATTCAATAGAACAAACAACACAACAAATTGAAATGAGCAAGCAACAACACTGGTAATCTTGTAAAAGGTACTAGGGTGGTAAAAAAGCCAAGCTGAGCTGAATACTGCATTATTCAAGCTTGGCTTGAATAATTAACTGTGTCCAATTGAATTGATCACGAGGCAACGTTAAGTAGATTGCTTCTTGTTTTTTTCTTCCCATGTATTCCAACATGTGTATGGCTCTGTCAAGCTAAGTCTGAGCCAAACTCAAAAAACTTCACTTGTTTATATAATGAGTCAAGTTCCAACAATCTTCTCGCAAGCCAAATGATATGCAACATTGGAGACAAGGAGAACCTTGTCGACTTTGGTTCATCAATGTTAAAAGAACATGAATAAACAAGAAAAAAATTAACACCAACAGAGGCTCGGCTTATTAAACCAACTGCCTAAATAAACTGTCACACAACATGTCAAGGAAGCTGAAACAATCGGTAAATTAAACAGCAGGCAATCACATAGGTACAGCAACATATCACGCTATAAATTTGTACTTCAAGCGCAAAGCATTCTTGTATATACTGAATGCATATGGGCCAAATAATAAATGATAAGTTAGAGGGAGAATAGTATAACCAGCTGTATGCGCCCCTTCACTGGAATGCGCAAACGACTCTTAGCACCTTGTGAATCATCATTACTAAGGTCTCTTTTCAAATTCTGGAATCTGTAATTGTTCAATGGAGTTCTTCCAAGATCTATGGATGCATAGTAGAGTAAGAAGTTATCTCCATCAACACTGGTTACTCCAAAAGGAAGTTTCTGTGATTTTGGAGAGAAGCTGCCTCCTGTAATGCTTAGTACAGCTAGAAAGCCATCAATTCTCTGCACAATCAAGATCCAAAAATGGGCATTTGACACACATATCAACAACATTGGAAAGTGAACTCTCAAGACTACATGAAAAGATAAAGAGGGCATACAAGAAAATCTACAGATATAGTGTAACATAAATATAACCTGACTGAATTTTCCAGATGACAACCGGCCAGACAGCAGGGATTCCTCAAACGAACCAACCAATGACCTCCTAACAGGAAGTCCTCTCAAACTTCTACCCAACTTCATGCAGTGGGGTATGGAATCATGAGACAAAGGCCAACTTTTTCCACTATTACTTTCCAGGGAAGACGAATGGGACTCTTTTTGCAAAAGATCAATATTTTCAAATGGTTTACTTGCCCTTGAAAAATTATCTTCTTCAGGGGCAAAGATAATGCCAGAGATATTTTTGTCAAGGGAACGTGCCACCTTTTTAAAGGTTAAATAATCACCCCCTATCTCTTTCCTGACATTGCTGCATCCTCTTGCAGCTTTCATTGTTTCAGAAAATTTTGGACCAAGAGGAGACAAAGAAAGAGGGGATGACATCACCTTTTCTGGGGATATGGATATCACCCCAGTCTGGGTTCTTACCTTTATTAAATTTTTGAAAGGATCTTGTCCAGGTGAAGATAAACAAGTATAAGGTAACACCTCCTTGTCCTCTACTAAAGGACCATCAGTGAAAAAAATGGAGTCTGGTCTACCATAATCGTATAACATATCCTTCCTTTCTGAACAATTACATACGGACCAGATTTGGTTCGTCAAATGGTTTCTACTTCCAGTATTTGCTTTCTTATAATCTTGAGCCGCAGGAGCCCTACAACTACCAGGGGAGTTTACTTGAAAGTTGCGGCAGCTAATATCTAGAGGATCAACACCCAATTGATCTGCAGAAAGCATACTACTCAATGGTGACAACAATCGCTTCTTGACCAGTGACCCACTGGACTCAGTTTCATTAAGTGTGATACCAACCACAGAAGAAGAATGAACATGATCATCCGAAACCTCACTTAATTCATCAAAAAAATAATTCTTCCTACCACACTCAAACCCCATGATCCTAGAGGCTGGACACTGAATATTCTGACCAGTGTTAGGTGTTAACCCCAGTTCATCCATAGAACCAATTTTCAATTCTTGTACATTGGATCCAACATCCATGGCCCCTTTACACATAAAGGAATCATCTGACAACTTTGATTGCTCCAAGGAGGTTGTTTCCTGAAAATCTCCTAAAGAAGAGCATAAGGAATCTCCAACAGTTCGGCTAATGCTTCCAACATGCATTCCATCCAAATCACAAGTGCTCACATTAAAAAACCGAGGTGGACTATGCACAGATGTTCTCAAAGACTCTGTAGCCTCCTCAGCAGATTCACTGGATGAAACTTGTGGCAAGCCCATCACTAAGTTTTGCAGTAACAAATAATTATCTTGATTAAAAAGGTATAAAGAGTTCTCGTTGATGGTCTCCTTTCCTACTGCCTTGCATACGCAAATCTCTGCTTAGATTTGCCAAATGAAACTCCTCGTCACAAACACATGAAACCCAAGTAGTGAACTCCTATCATGCCACTAAATTAATGCAGAAACTGAAATTCCCCCTAACTTCAGCTAAAAATTCACTGTGGAAATTGAAATACCCTATAAATTCAGCTAAAAGTTCAAAGAAAGGCAATTCCCAATCCAATAAGAAGCCAATACTAGGTATCTATAGATAGAGTTCATCCTCGTTTCAACTACCACTATCCTTCCAAGAATGCGATGATAGACCCAAGTACATACTAAAACCCCAGAAACAACGGACAGGACAAATCTTCTGACCTCCATGCCAGTAAGCAATGATACACAAAGGATTCATGGTTGTGCAAAGAATCAATGCATACGCCTGAAGTCAAACACAAAACAAAAATGAACTATTAGAGTGTTTGTAAAAATCTGAGGAAGCACTTTAAAACATATGCAGCTAAATGGGGTTATAGTGTGTATGTGTGTGCTTTAAGAAAAAAATCTTCCTTTCTTTTTCTTTTTCTTTTTTTTTCCAAACCAGAACTTGAAACCATTGGACACTACTACATCACTTTCTACCTACAAAATACACAGAAGCATAAATGTCTTAAATCAATTCGCGCAGGAATAAGAAGGAAAAACAGTTTGTGACAACAGAAAAATAGAAAACAATCCACTATCAGTGATGAAGAATTCTAAAAGAGAAGAGACACTAGTGTGATGTTACTCATCTTAGTTCTTCCATCAAAATGTGAATCTAGTACAGCAAATGCACTAATATTTTGAAATACGGAGAGCACACAAACAAAACATAATCCAATCAACCATCGATCGACATGTAAAGAAGAATAGTTTGCACGTAAATCCAAAAGCGAATCTGTCATGACCCCATCCGCCCCTAGTAGAATGGTGCCGTGATAGCCAGTAATCGGAGATTACCAAAGGCCAACTTACAAAAATTCACATATAATCAGAATATGCATACGGGGCTTACATGTGCGGAAGCAAATTTGAATCTAAGTAGTCCATAAGAGCTGTGCATAGATCAAATGAAATGACATACATCTTAACATGATTTTATAACTTGAATACAAATAAAATATAGTACATGTTACATCTTAATCAAAAGGCTTCTCAAGCCGAAATATACAAAAAACATGAATTACAAACTAAGAAGCATAATTTTCAAGATGCTAACAAAACATGAATCCAAAACATCTTGTACATATATCTTAGGCGTCACCGCCTTCTTGCTCATCACCTACATATATATAAAAGGGAGGGTGAGCTTGGATACTCAGTGAATGATATGAGTAATAAAGGTTTGAATGAATGATATCCGAGATCTTATCAGAACAATACATATCATATCTTGTAACAAAATATGAGACGAATCAAGTTCATCAATCAAAATCTTTCTTGGGATGTTTACTAACATCTACGTAATACAAAGGATGACATTCCTGACAAAATAAAGGAATAACCGATCCGGAATCGATTAGACAAACCCGTCCGTACAAGACCGTCGGTGGTACCATCCGTACATGACCATCGATGGCAAAGAGATATCTCAAACAAAGGTGCTACATAGGTTAACGTCCCCTAACACGAAAGGACCTTCCAAGAATGTCATCAAAACAAACATAATACTTGATACAAAACTAAGGGATAATCATTCATACTTGATCAAATACTTTTCCAAAACAAAGCAAAACAAAGCTTTATCAAAACATTATAATATAACTTTATTAGAAATACCACTCACTTAGTTCTTCGGGTGTAGGGATTAAGGCAAGGATCCAAGACCTACAAATACATGACAAAGTCCACTGAATGCATTTCCGGAAGACAAGAAAGAATGCTCAAAGATGGTTATGCAATGCATTCCCAAAACAAGCTTTACATGAATGAAAATGATCCCAGCATTTCTTTCCAAAACCAAGTCAAGACAAAGCAAAACAGGTGCTGGGAGTCAAAACACTGTTTTTCTTCTAGGGGAAACATGCTGGGTACCAACCAAGTCTCGGAATAGATGCACATAGATGATCTAGGCCGAGGTCCCACACTTCTTGGCCGAGGTGTAGTCTCCTAGGCCTAGGTGTGTGGTGGTCGGCCTAGGTATGCATGCAAGATAGGCTAAGGTGCAAGTGATCCTGCAAGGTAGGCCAAAGTGAGATACGATGCTTGGCCTAGGTGTGAGATCTAGGCAATAGTGGGTCTCGGTGACCACCCTTAAGCGAATAAGTCTGGAAATCTGTGTTTCCTCTTGAAGAACATGGAAAACATGAACATGAAGAACACGAATGCTAAAATCATAACTTGTTATTACCAAATCTGAGATTTCATGAGATGAGTTCAAAAATATGGACCTGGGTACCCGTACTTGGAGGTTTCATGAAAACAAACACAAAAACATGGATTTTGATACAAACTTTCGGATCAAAACATGATTTTTCTTAAAGAACACATGAACATCACTTTCTCTTTCTAAAACCAAGCTTTAAATCAATGCATGGCTCATGAATCATGCCAGATCATGCAATGCGATTAGATCAACATAAACAACAACAAGAGTGAATTAAGAATCTAACCTCAAAACATGGATCTAATGGTTCAAGGTGTGAAAATCAAGCTTGGAAATCTAGTTCTCTCACTCTAAGAACTTCTTTTCCTCTTCCTAGAGCTTCTCTCTCTTCAAAGGCAAAGATATAGCAAATGATATGTTTTCTCAACTAGTACCTGACTTAACCCTCTGCTGGGACACGTGGCATCACTGGATTGAATCTCCTCAAAAAGGCGACAGAATGAAAAGACAAGAGCATGACAAAGTGTGTATAACAAGTAAGGTGGCATGGGCACTCTGACAAGGCAATGATCTCGGATTAAGACATAGGCTTCGGCTAGCAAGGTCTCACTCATCTCGGCCAGGAAGGATAACACTTGGCCCAGCTGTGCCACACCTCGGCCTAGATGTGCCACACCTCAGTCTAGGTCACACCAGTCCGAGAACAAGATCACTAGGTGCAAGGATCAAAGATCTAGAACGCCTAGATGATAACATCTCGGCCTAGATGATACACATCTCGGCTTAGGTGACGCACACCTCGGCCCAGATGATGACATCTCGGCCCATATGCCAAGGTGAAGGTGGAAGTCAACCAAAGTAGTTCCAAGATGGTCCTAGGTGTTGGTGTGCAATGGCCTATGTGTAAAAACTCAAAGGTATGATCTAGGCTTGAGATAGCAAAGGCAGATGACCTAGGCTTAACACACCAAGCAAGGGACAAAGCATGCAAGCAACACTTAGGCAAATCACATAAACACAAAACAAGACAGAGACCTCTACTTAGGCAAAATAAGTCAAAGTCTACAAATGCAAAATTAACAAGACAAAATCATGCAAATGCACATGAGCGTGGCCAAGACGAGAATGAAGGTTATTACAGAATCGATCGGCAGCTGAAACACAAAGAGATGAGGAAAGGGGGGCTTTTACTTGCACGGCATACATTCACCACACAAAATTGGATTGAGTCATCGTCATCGTCATCGTCTCTACTTTGAAGCAACGTTTTGAAAAGCCAAAAAATAAAAATAAATAAAGCATATATAAACAATCGAATCAAACAATAACAGCAACAGCTAAATCAGAATAAGGAAAACAAAACACAATTGAAGGTCTGATCGTCGAGGCGCACCATGAACAAAGATTGAATTCATGTTCGGTGATGATCTTCCATAAGCATGTATATCAATCAATCTTCGGATCTTATGCTTATATATATATATATATAGTTGGATTTGAAATTGATTAGTAAAGTTGAAGAACAATTTATTAAAAGAATGATGAAATGAAGATTTTAATGGAGTGAAATTAAGAAAGATCATCCTCCTTTTGCGCCTCTTGGGAAAGGGAGGTGGTTGCGTCGTCTTTGCGGTTCGGCGAAAGCCCATGGCCCTCCCTCTCTCTCTCTCTCTCTTTTCTATTTCTCACTTCTTATCACTCCTCTCTGTCAGTGTGTTTGTAAGGGCGTTTGGGAAGTTTATGTGTTGGGTTTTTTTGATTTTTTTTCAATAGTAGACAAATTTTTTGTAAAATTAAAATAAAATATCATATTTAATTTTATAATTATTTTATTTATTTTTTTATAAATATCACATCTAATTATAAAAAAAAAGTCTAATTACCTTTTAAATATTAAAAAAAAAATTATCTAATAATATTCTATAATTAAAAAAATTTACATAAAAACTCAATTCCTAAATACCCACCATATATTATTAATTTTTTTAAAAAAAAAACTCAAAAATACCAGCGTCATCATCTCTTTTGGTTGGTCCCAGGATTTTACACTGTAAAAGTTCGAGGGCCTCCAAACAATAAAGCTTTGTTTGGCCTAATCTATTTTAGTTCATCTTTTTATCTTTTTTGAATTACATCAATTAACATCTCTTTTCTATTTTTATACACATATTTTTATATAAATTCAAAAAATATATTTATTTAGGACATTCCAAACCACCCCTAAGTTGCAAATGTACAACATTAAGGGCTTTTTGGTTTGTTTTTCAAAAAAAAAATTGGAAAAAATTTTCTACAAACAAATTTTTAAGAGTAATCAAACTAAACAAATTCTTTCAAAAAAATTCTCAAAATTTTGTTTGATTACCTACTTTTCAAAATTACTCTCTCTCATACAAATCAAATCAATCATTTTTTTAAAACTCTTTTTCCAAAACCATTTTTAAAAAAAGAAAGGCAAACTAAACAAGTTTTTCTACTTTTTATTTTAAAAATTACTTTACAAACACAAACCAAACACATTCTAAGAATTTGGACAGTATTAAGTCGAGCCACTCTAAAAAATAATTAAATTTGAATGATATAGTATAAGAATAATGCTTGGGACCCCCTTTTGGGGGTCACCCCTCACCCCCTTTGCCACGTGACGGGTGGTGATTGGAGGAGCAGGAAAAAAAAGAAAAAGAAAAAGAAAATGTAACCAATGAGAGAGAGAAGGGGTCAAAAGGGGTGGGGGGAAAAGGGGGATGAATCATCGTTGATAATATAATTTTAAATTTGATACAGACTTTGAGCTCAATTTTCAAACTCAAATTCAATTCGGGTTTGCTTGTGAGAACGATTTGGGTAATTTATGAGGACACGATAAATAAAATGTGATGTAGCACTACTCTAAAAATAAACGCAGCCTAATTCCAAAAAATTGAAAGTATTAATCAATTCAAGTTTAACCTCAGTTTAATTTATTGAGATTTAGGCCTTGTTTATCATAATTTAAAAAAATCAAAAAATTACTATCTTATTTAAATTATATCATCTTATTTAACTCACATCACTTTAAACTCAACCCATACCTAACCTATATTTTATAAAAAGTCAAAAAATACACTTATTTAAATCATCTCAAAACACCCCAAATTGAGCTTAGATAGGTAATAAACTCATGCCTCGTTTGGCAAGTTGACATTTTAGCCAAAAAGTTAAAAAATTACTAAAAAAATCAAAAAAGCCTATAGCTTATACCAAAAAGTCAAAAATTCCCTCTTTTCTCTACTTTTTGCACATCTTTTCGTAAAAAATCAAAAAATCACCCCAAACATACTAATTTTTTTTACCTCATATTTTAACAAAAAAGTCAAAAAATTACTAAAATAGTCTGTTTCCAAACGAGGCCTTAAGATAAGAGATTGGGTCTAGTCAGACTTGAACAATTTTGTATCAATTTAAACTAGGCTTACCATCTATCATCTATGGCATCTATCTATATATATATATATATATGAGAGCATTGATAGAGATCCCCTCCAATCACCACCCCCACGACTCCCACACACACGTGGCGGGTGGTGATTAAAGGAGAAGGAAAAAAAAAAACAAAAAAAAAAGTAGCTATATATATATTATAAGAAAAAGGGGCTCCTAATCTACAAATTTTGTGGGAGCTCCAATATCCTAATCCTAATTTTCTAATTTTTTGATTTAAAAAAAAAAAAAAAAAAACTCAGCATTTATTAACTTCTCCCAACCCACAATCCATTTTGATTTCTCTCATAATTACTGCAGCACCCTTTTCAATTTTTTCCATATACTATGGTTATACACAAAAATAAAGAAGATAAGAATTTAACTATAGATCTCAAAAAGGTATAACATCTAAATTTGAATTATGATTTAGTAATATAATTATGTTATATATATATATCAAAATTTTAAATCACTTAATGGGACAAATTAATCAATTTTTTAAAATTATTGATTTTTTAATTTACAAAATAGATTAAAAAAATTATTGACTGATTTATTTATTTAATAACAAAAATATTTCATAATCTCTCCCTCGTAATCTCTCTCGCCAATTTTCAAAAAAAAAATATTAAAACTTGCATTTCTTTTCTCTTCCCAAAAAATCAGATAATATTTTTTACTAAAGTTGTAGATATCTATCTATATCTTATATATTATATTATAACATAATAAAAAAACTATTTTTTTTTAATGTTTATCTAAATAAACTTTAAGTCAATAAACTCACATGTCTATCACATATCTAACACACATCATAACTTACCTAAATAATAATAATTAAAAACAAACAGAAACCACAAATAAATTAAATTAAAAAAATAGATACCCACAACTCCAACTTAAATAAATTGAAGGGAAAAAAAAAACCCAAATAGAAACTACACAAAAACAAAACAAAAAAAAAAAAATAAGAATTTAGATATGGATATAATAAAAAATATTAAAAATTGCATTCCTTCTCTTTTTTCCAAAAAATCAGATAATATTTTTTTATTAAAGTTGTAGATATCTATCTATATCTTATATATTATATTATAAGATAACAAAAAAACTAAAAAAAAAACTAAAAATCAGATATACAACTAGATAAAATTAATAAATTTGATTTTTATTTATTCTGTTAAAATCTTTTTTTTGCATCGCAATATCCAATTTTAAATTTTAAAAATCTTTAAAGTTTATCTAAACAAATTTAATTTGAAAATGTCTCCCACCATTATACTTTAAATCAATAAAACTCACATGTTTATAACATATCTAACTCACGTCATAACTCACCTAAATAATAATAATTAAAAACAAATAGAAACCACTGATAAATTAAATTAAAAAAAATAGATACCCACAACGCTATCTTAAATAAATAAATTAAAAAAAAACCCGAATAGAAACCATACAAAAACAAAAAATATAAGAATTTAGATATAGATCTAAAAAAAAATATTAAAACTTGCATTCCTTCTCTCTTCTCCAAAAAATCAAATAATATTTTTTATGAAAGTTATAGATATCTATTAATATCTTATATATTATATTATAACATAACAAGAAAAAACTAAAAATCAGATATACAAACAGAAAAAATTAATAAATTTAATTTTTATTTATTCAGTTAAAAATTTTCTTTTGCATCTCAATATCCAATTTTAAATTTTAAAAATCTTTAAAGTTTATCTAAACAAATCTAATTTGAAAATATCTCCCACCATTATACTTTCAATCAGTAAAACTCACATGTCTATCACATATCTAACTCACATCATAACTTACCTAAATAATAATAATTAAAAACAAATAGAAACCACAGATAAATTAAATTAAAAAAAAAATAGATACCTACAACTCCATCTTAAATAAATTTTAAAAAAAAAACAAATAGAAACCACACAAAAATAAAAAAAAAATAAGAATTTAGATATAGATCTAAAAAAATATGACTATATCTTTGAATTATAATTTAGTAATATAATTATCTATTTTTCTGATGTATATATATCAAAATTTTAAATCACTTAATGAGACAAATTAATTAATTTTCAAGTTTCATTTAAAGAATAATCTGATTAGTCATCTCAACTCCTAGACTTCGCGGGCACTAGCAGAAGAACTAACAGATTGGGTTAGGTGAGGTTTAAGTTGTTGGAGGTAACATTTTCATATTTTATAAATTTATTTATTTTTTAATTTTATTTTTTCCCTATGTGATTTTATTTCTTTACTGTTGGTTTGGTTTTGGTTTTGGTTTCGGTTTTAGTGAGGTTTATGTGTTTGTTTACAGGTTTGCATTGTAGAAAAAATTTATTAGTGATTATGGTTGTAATCGAAGTATCTATGTCCGTTTCATGCCAAGAATTTTGATCGGATTTTGTTTTCTTCAATAAGGACCATAAAATTGAAGTTAAAAAAATGAGTATCAAATTTTTTATGTTTTTTGTCATTTTATTTTATAGAAAATGTGAAAATTTATTGAGAATTCAAGATTTTATTATAACATTAGATTTTTGTATAACTAGGTAAATTTAAAATTTTTAAATATCATTGTGTTCTTTATTTTTATTTTCTTTATATCTCATTAGATCATTACTGCTATTTATTTGTTTGTTAATTATAATTCAATTAATTGAAAATGAAAGCTTAATATAACTTTTCATATATATTACAGTTAATTTGTTATAACTGTAGTTGTAGATAATAGCATGATATATAGGGATAATATTTAAATATAATTTCTATTTTTTATGTGATTAAAATAGTCCATCTTAATAGTATATAGAAGAGTTAGTTAGTTTCTTCTATCTTTAAAAAATTCAATCTATTTTTTTTTTTACTTTTTAATTTTTTATATTGAAATAGTCCATCCTAATAGTATATAAAAGAGTTAGATGGTTTCTTTTATCTCTAAAAAACTCAATCTTTTTTTTTTTTGTTTTACTTTTTAATTTTTTAAATTGAAATATCAATTGTTTATGTCCATCAAACAAAATTGATAAACACATATAAAAAAGCTACACTTTTCTTTTTCTTTTTCTTTTTTTTTTCATTTTTAATATGTAGGATATTTACAAATGAAAAATATTTGACACCCCAAATTTTTTTCAATAATCCAACTTATAATGATGTAGTCATAAGTGTCAATTTTTATACAAATATGAGAAGAGAATTAATTAAATTATACATTTCAACCAACCACATACTCAAACTTTGACTATTTCAAGATGTTATTTCACTATAATTCCAATTAAGAGAATCTTCAATCATTATTTTTTTTTTATCAAATTATAATTTGATAAAAAAAAAATAAGGGTTGAAGATTCTCTTAATTGGAAATATAGTGAAATAACATCTTGAAATAGTTAAAGTTTGAGTATGTAGTTAGTTGAAATGTATAATTTAATTAATTCTGTTCTCACATTTGTATAAAAATTGACATTTATGACTACATCATTGTAAGTTGGATTATGGAAAAAAAAATTTGGGATATCAAACATTTTCCATTTGTAAATACCCTACATATTAAAAAATGAAAAAAAAAAGGGGAAAAAAAAAATGTGTAGCCTTTTTATATGTGTTTATCAGTTTTTTTTATTTTTTTATTTAAGACATAAACAATTGACGTTTCAATTTAAAAAATTAAAAAGTAAAAAAAAAAATTAGATTGGATTTTTTAGAGATAAAAGAAACCATCTAACTCTTCTATGTACTATTAAGATGAACTATTTTAATCACATAAAAAAATATAAATTATATTTAGATATTATCCCTGCATATTATGCTATTATATACAATTATAGTTGTAATAAATTAATCATAATATATATTAAAAGTTATATTGAGCTTTTATTTTCAATTAATTGAATTATAATTAAAAAGTTTGAAAATATTTTGAAACATTCTTATTCATAAAGACTAGAAATCCGTGTGTGTATTATATTCGTATTGTATTTTTAGTTATGAAATTGAAATCAAAAGAAATATAACTTAAATTATTGGATTAATAATAGAAATATCGTATTAATTATTGATCAATATCAGTTCACTTCGTATTTAATAATAAAATTATATATTTGTTTTAATTATAACTTTTAAATTTATATATTTTTATAATAAGAAGAAGTATGTCATAACTCAGTTAATCTCATTTAATTAGATTTAATTTTTTTTTTGATACAAATTATCAAAATTTCCCTAAATATATATATATATATATTTAAATTTTTTTAACTAATAATTTAAAAAGTTATAAACATAAAAATTAACTTATAAATTTCATATATACCGCAAAATAAAATATTAAATTACTTCAAGATAATTATAATGATTTTTTTTTTAAATTTATGAAGTCTCGTACACAGCACGGATTACACTATATAAAATAAAACAAATCAGATATTTGGGAGACTTTCTTCTCATTTGATTCTCTACCAATATGCTTGATGAAAATGTTAACAACCATCTAATAGCGAGATTAATAGGTTGGAGACCGTTTATGACATCGGGATTAAACCAAAATAATGCATATTTTGGGACCATTTGCCTATTTAACTCAAACCTATATGCTTATTTCAAAAAGATAAAAATTATACACTTAACTGTCAAATAATAAGAATTATTTTATCCAAAAAAATAATAATAAGAATTATCCACAAGTGGGCTAAACCAAGAGGAAAAATGTAGTTACGAATGAAATTTGCCCCAAAGGTAATCAATATTCAATCACCCATTCACCCTGGATGGGCTTCACCAATATTATTAAAAAGATCTATGTGGAATAGCAGATCTATATCAATAAAACCAACAACCAACCGTACACCCAAATTCAACATCAAAGTAAAAAGGAAAACTTGTCAATAAGTCCCATATACAAAGTTCAAGGTCCATTTAATCATCAAATAAAATACTTGCACCAATTAGTCCTACACATTTTTAATTGTTACCAAAAAATTCTATTTTTTTTTTTAAATTTACAGATACTGTTATATCTTAATACCGTCGGACTTCCGTCAAACGGTCACCGGAGACTCGTCGAAATGTTTAACATCACCGGAAGTCGCCGGAGTATTGCCGAAAAGTCGCTGGAGTATCGCCGGAAGTTCACCGGAGTGTTAAGAACGTTAATGGAAGTCGCCGGAATGTTCAGAACGTTCACTGGGCATTAAGAACATCACTGGAAACTTACCAAAATGTCTAGAATATTGCCGGGAAAAAAAAAAGAATAAATGAAAAAATTAGAGCAAAAAAAAAAAAAGCAAAATGTGTTAAATATTGATAAACTAAAAGAAAAAAAAATGAAACGACAAAAAACAGCAACAATGGAAAAAACATATGCTATTTTTCAATTTTTGTAACGTTTAAGCAAATAATCTCCAATATTGATCAAACTGAAAAGTGAGTTTTGAAACTGTAAAATGTTACAGTTTCAAAGCAAAAATCTATTAAGCATTTATCCTTATTAATCAAACTGAAAAATATGTTATAAAACTGTAAAATTTTACAGTTCTAAAGAATGTTATGAAATTGCAAAATTTTACAGTTTTACACCATGATTCATTCCAACACCAAAAAAATTTGAAACTGCAAAATTTTACAGTTTTAAACCATGATTCATTCCAGCACCAAAAAAAATTTAAAACTGCAAAATTTTAAAGTTTTCACTGCCTGTAACTAAAACTCGAAAACTACTTGTTCAGAACTTGAAAATTTTCTCCATTAGAACAGAAAAAGAGAAGTATATAACAGAGAAAATGTAGAAAAAAATAAGAGATCGAAGGAGAGAGGTGGATATAGAGAGAGAATTGTACTCCGGCAACTATTTTTGTTTAGATCTAGCCAAATCTGATGTAGATCTACTCAGATTTGATGTAGATCTACATCAAATCTAAGTAGATCTACTCATCTTCTTTGTCGGAAATATATCTTCTTCGCCGTCGGTGAGGGTGAAATCAACGAGTTGATTTCGATGGTTGGTGGTTACCGGTGAACCCTAATCAATGGAGAAAGACGTGATCACCGGTCGTCGTCCATGATAAAGAAGATGAGAGAAAAATGTAGAAAAAAAGAGAGAGAGGAAAACGTGAGGCAAAAAGCAAAGAGAAAAAGAGAGAGAAGGGAAAGTAGGACTTTTGGGTCTACTCAAAAAGTTATTGGATTAAATGGTGTCCACATATTTCAAATAGGACCTGTGGGTAATTTCCCCGAGTAATAAAAATCCATACATCAGTTTGGCTAAATAGAGTACGACTAATTCAAAACAAGAAAAAATTGGCATGGCTGAACCAGTAATAAAACACCTACTGATGCAGCTACAATGTGCACACGAAATCCGGTGCATGTCTCATCGGCCCAACCAATGTCCGATACAGATACATCTTTTCTACTTTTTGTCTATCATCAAGGGTAGCCTGGCCACTTTCATTTATGATTTCCATATTGAGCCTCGGCATCGTATTTGCAAGCATCTTGCAGTCTCCAAGGGTAACTTCACAGGACGACATCCAAAGGAATTGCATTGTTTCATACTTTCCCACGTCCGTTAGAAGTCCCACATTGCTGAATGGGCTATCCCTGATCTCTAGCTTTCTAAGCTTCTTACAGCCATTCAAAACATAAAGCATTCCCTTATCACTGTCTCTAGCAAATGCAATGGAAAGCATTTCAAGCTGCTCAGCATACATTCCAATGTAAAGGAACACCTGGTCTGTCAGGAGGCCAGAGAGCAACAGGCACTTGAGACCCTTGCAAGATTGAACTACTGCCCCAAAACCTTCATCTAGTGGCTGCATAGTCACAGGGCCTGGTCTTGTCGGGTTGAGGATACACAATCTAAAACGGGTGAAATTTGGGCAATTCTTAGACACAGTTATGAGGGCGGCATTGGTCATTTGCTGGCAGAAGTATAGTAATGAATGAAGCTTGGGGCAACCAGCAGATATTGCCACCAAGCCTTCTTCAGTTACAGCAGCATGCCCAACCCCATGAAGATCAGATGGGAAGACCCTCAACTCCTGCAGTTCTCTACAAGTGGAAGCCACAACACCTAAACCTTGATCTCCAATGCAATCCAATATCTGTAGAAATGACGCAAAACTGTACTTATAAAAAAATAAAGGGGGCAAAAAGAAGTCCAAAATTCAATTATCGGAGGGTTAAGAAAATAGACCCGCAAGTGCTGAAGTTTCCAGCAATGACCAATTAGCTTTATAAGCTCAGAACCATGAATCCCTGGAGCAAACACTACAAAAAAATTGCTTTTTTGCGATGGTAAAATACCATCGCAAATACCAAAAACCCCGTCGCAAAAACTTTTTTGCGACGGCATCGGGCTTTTAGCAACGGTAATAGGGAGGTCGCAACAAAGGGGTTGCTAAAAGCCTTTAGCGACGGTATGGTGCCGTCGCAAAATATTGGCGACGGCAAAAGTGCCTTTTAGCGACGGTAAAATACTGTCGCTATTAATGTGTAGAAATTTGAAGTTTTTGAGACGGCACTGTGTTGCCATCGCAAAAAAAAGGTTATTTGCGACGGTAAAAATATCGTCGTTAAAAGTTTTATTTGAGACAGAAAAATACCGTCGCTGAAAATGGTCATTTGCGAAGGTAAAAAATACCGTCACTGCCTTACACTACCATAGGCACTCCACCATTGTCGCTGCTACCCATTTTTAAAGAAGAAAGTTAAAATGAAAAATATTTTTTTTACTAGCAAAGAGAAATATTTTACTAACATGAAAAATATGAGCATTGTCAAAAAAAAATGATGTCAAAGGAGATTCCACATTTTTCCTAAAGTAAGTGAAACTTTTAAAAACCAAATGAATTGTAAACATTTAATTGAAATATAAAGCACATGTAACCACTTTGGAGGTTGGTCTAAAGGCCTGATGCGGCAGTTACAGTCTTCAAATATAGAAAGGAGAAAAGACAATCTTACTACTTTCGTTCATAGGATCAAAGATTTCTTCTTCTTTTTTAAAATGGAGGACGGGTTTGACTATACAACCTGATATGTTCACAATGCATATTCTGAATTACAAGCATGAACACGTCAATCACAATTTAAGAACAAAATTGTTCTTAAATCATACAATAATTTTCAGAAAGTATCTACACTCTCTTTTTCATGTTTAAGAAATTCACAAGAGATGGAATGAGAAGGAATGCACAAGAACAAATACTTACTTTATGAATGGCCGTTCACAGTCGCTCACAGTTGCTCGTCACTCGTTGTTCACAGTCGCTACTGCTCGTCACTCTGGTGAAGGCCGTCGTTCACGCTCGTCACTTTGCGAAGGCCGTCGTTCACCACTATTTTGATTTTGAATGATTTCGATTTGAGGATTTTGGGGATTTTGGTTTCTAATAGTTGGATCAATGGATTGGGATTTTGGAGATTTTAGGGATTTCGATTTCAAAGGGATTTTGATTTTAGGGATTTCAGTTTCAGAGGGATTTTGATTTGAGGAATTTAAGGATTTTAGGACTTTGACCGCGAATGGGATACAAAAAGCGAGATAGCAAATATTCATTTATTTGCGGCGACATATGTCAACCGTCACAAATGATCATAATTACCGAATGAAACGACGTCGTTTTATCCATAGTTTTTTGCGATGGTCTTCTGCCGTCACAGATGGTCCACAATTGCGACAGTAACTTCTTACCGTCGCTAAATAATACGTTTTTGCAATGGTATTTCGTGTGTCGCCAACGTTCCTGCAGTTTTCTTTTTACAATCTTTAGCGACGGAATAAGCCCCGTCGCAAAAGTCTATTTTTTCTCAACAGCAGATACACGCCGTCGCAAAAGATTTTTTTGGCGACGGCAACTATGATGCGTCGCAAAAAATGATTTTTTGCAACGGCAGTCACCCCATCGCAAAAACCTCCGTGTTATTTGCCAGGATTTCTTGTGGTGAAAGCTCAAGTTCAGGGAGGTCAGGTTCAAGCAAATCGGATAGATAGCAAGCAAGCAACGGGGAGCAACCTCCAAGAACCCTGACAAACTCCTAATTGATGTGCATTTCGTGATGACACTCTTTAGTATGTAGCGAGTCTCTGTATCCAAATCATGAACAAAGGCTCCTGTACCTAAGTCCACCAACTGGGGCGCTTGTGCCACAATCTTTTGAAGAGTAGCAAGTGGCACAGCATGGTTTAACCTCAGACTTCTAAGATTATGACACCTTGCCACTAGTCTCTCAAGGGCTGGCAAGCTAACTTCTCCTTTGAGGCATGCAAAATTCAAAGAGACAAGTGACATGCAGCTGTCAGGAAAGCGACTAAGCCACTGGCCTCTGTGATCATCAACTTCATTTTCTTGCAAGCTATGAAGCACAGACACGAACACGGACACGACATGAACACACGGACACGTAAATTTTTAAAAAATAAGGGATACGACACGCTAGGGACACGTTTAATATATATATAATTAATTTTATTTATTACATGTCATAAAATTATAAAAAAAAATTATTCAAAGATAATAAAAAATACAAAATAATACTATTAAAATTATAACAGAGGCATTTTTTTTTACTTATCACAAAAAAAAAAAAATTATAACTGAGGCACATAGAGAGAAAAGAAAATAGAAAATGAAATTAGAAAAAAAAAAATAGAAGAGCGAGAGAGAGACTCCTACTCACTGACCATATAAAAGAAAAAGAAAAAGAAAAAAAAGAAAAAAAAATAGATTGAAGAAGATCAGTGACAACGAGAGAGAGAGAGAGAGAGTGACTGTGAGAGAGAGACAGCCACTGCGCGTGCGCGAGAGAGAGAGAGAGAGGCATAGGAGAAGAGAGCGACCGACGACAGTGTAATCGATGGAGAAGACGCGGTCAACGGTGGCATTAGAGTTATGGTGGTGTCGGTGTTAATGGAGGTAAAGAGGAGAAAGAAGAGAGAGAGAGAGAGAGAGGCTGTGGCGGTAGAACGGCGGAGGGTGAGGGGAAGTGGTGGTGAGAGAGGGAGGGAGAGAAGAGTTGCGGAGAGAGAGAGGAAGAGAGAGAGTATGGTTTGATTTACTGTAGCTCTGTGTTTTTTGAGTTTAAAAACTAGCGTAAACTCATTTTTTGAGTTTACAATTTCTTATCAAATTTACAAATTAAGACCAATTATTTATAAACCAAAAAATTTACCAAACAAGTTTTTAAAATTTTTGTAAATATAAATTGAAAACTAAAAACTAAATGGTTACCAAACAAGTGGTTCAAATTTTTGGCTGGGGAGCTATTCTTCAAGGAACAGACGAATATGCCACCTTTATTGATCTCTTCTGCTGGTTCTGCAATAATAGATCTCACCACTATAACAAGTGCACCGAGGTATAGCCATTTATAAAAATAAGACGACATTGATAACCTAATGTCAATTCTATTAAATACTAACTTTTTCCATTTTAATGATGACTTTTGATTTGCCCAATATCTATTTACTGGCTATAAAATAAATTTTGTTCCTGGTCCACATGCTTGTTCATATACATTCATGTATGCTTATATATGTTTGGTTTGTCATATTTTGTTTGTGAAAACATTTTACAGCACACCTAGAAGAATTGGATCAACTTCTGAAGGCAATTGCTCAAGTCAAAGAGTTGACTTTATGCACAAAAGACTACTTAGTCTCATTTGGGGAGTGCATGTCAACAAGAATTTTTGCTGCATATTTAAATAAAATTGGTGTTAAAGCTCGCCAGTTATTTGTCTTCTGATCATTATCTAGGACTATCTGGTTTTTGAAAATCTATATTCTTCAATGGCCAATGAAATAATGAAGCAATTCCATACTGAACAATGCTGCTAGGCCTATGATTTTCGTATTATGTTAATTTGTGGTCAAACACTATGATTTTCTGATTTAGGATGTGAAAGTCCCTTCAATATCTCTTACTTTATTATTATTATTATTTTTTGAGCGATGTTTTAGTACTTGCTTAATCCCCTTATATTAAATTTGAGGTAGACTTATATATAAGCCTGTTATTAATTGACAATTTTTGCTTGTCCTTATACGAGACAAGTTTAGTTAAACCAAAAGGGAAAAGATTATGTGTGATACAAAAATGGAAAGGGCTATATAGGTTTTTAATATTGTGATTGGTTTTTACAACTGTAAATTGTGTTGTATTTGAATCTGTTTCTTCTCCTTGCATGTTTATTGATTTCTTGAGTTCCAATGAAGAATTATGTTGTAGATTTGTGTATTGGGATTTTGCTTGTGCATGTATGTCATTGTCTAAGCAGGCTCGATCTTCTTGATACCATATTATCAATCTATTATCCATAACATGTTACATCTAAAGCTGCTGCATTCAATCTTTCAACATGAAGAATACCTAAATCTTCTATGATTAATTGTCTGTTTGCTATGCTTTTTGGTAAGCAACAAAGGCAAGATACTGATGATTACTTCTTGTTTGTTTAATGAAAGTCATATTGGCAGCAAAGGCAATAGTCTTACCTCAATGAAGCGTCTATAATGAACCATCCTGGAAAGTTGTTCTTTTTGGTATAACAAACTCTATTGGAAGGCTGTCATTTCTAGTTACTTCCTTCCGCTTAACTTTCAGATAATTGGTTAAATAATTTCAGTATTATTTAACACATGTAATATTGACATTTTTCTATTGCTTTTCCCGGTGGTTAAAATGTCTGCTGTACTTTTAAGTGCCTTGTTAATGATTTCTATGATCATGACTAATTATGACACTATCATTTTGCAGTATGATGCATTTGATATTGGTTTCATAACAACAGATGACTTCACAAATGCAGATATTCTGGAAGCAACTTATCCAGCTTTTGCAAAAAGGTTACACAGTGATTGGATTAGTGATCCTGCAATTCCTATTGTTACTGGCTACCTTGGAAAGGTCCTCCTGCCTCCAATTCCATTATAGTTTTCTACTTTGAAAGAGTCATTATCTGCCTGAAACTTGTCCATTTGAGGGATTGCAATAATGATATTCTTTAACCATTATGATTGCAGGGCTGGAGATCTTGTGCAGTGACTACATTGGGTAGGGGTGACAGTGATTTGACAGCCACAACCATTGGTAAAGCACTTGGGTTGCAAGAAATCCAGGTCAGTGTTTACACTAAATATATGTCAAAAGTACATGGACATAATTAACTAGTATGTGAGCATATGAACATGTATGGAACAGTGTGTGAAAGTGTTTTCTTGTGAGCTCAAGTTGTATGAAAATTTCTTTCAGATTCTAGAATATCCATAGTATGATGTTTCTTGACAAATAAGAGCCTATTTTTCAAACATTTCCAGGTGTGGAAGGATGTTGATGGGGTTTTGACATGTGACCCTAATATATATCCACTCGCAGAACCTGTGTCACATCTAACATTTGAAGAGGCAGCAGAGCTTGCGTATTTTGGTGCTCAGGTAATCATTTAATGGCCTTATACCTTTTATTGGACTATCAAAAAACATCATTGCTGGTATACAATTTTCTTGCACAGGTTCTTCTTGTAATTTGCTCCTGCACGGAATGTTTTATTTTTATGTTACGTTATTTTTCATGTTTGACCTGTTCTAAACTCGTTACACTGGCTGAGTTTTCAGCTGAATCTTCTTGGTAGGGGCTTTCCGAATATGGTTCCGGCTTGATAATTTGATTTAATTGTCCAAGTTCTCACCCAAAGTATGAGGAATAAACTTAACCAAAGAAAAAAAGTCTAAGGAATAAGAAAAAACTAGATGCCAATTATCTGGAAACAACCATCAAGTTTTAGTTCAAAATATATCCTCAGCATTATTTATTCCTGTTCTCTTAATCTACATCTAGTTGTATTTTATGCAACTTTAATAAAATTTAATAACTGTGGAAGTCAGCTCCTAACTTGACCATAGTTCTTTACTGGCAATAAAAATCTGGTTTTCCTTTTTTTGACCATATAAACTATAGACTTTTGATTGCCGATAACGAATTAGACTGGGTAATTACATTGTGTTTTACGAAGTGCTAGCTAGTAGCTATGAAATCTTTCTCACTGAGCATTTTATTATTCCTCTAGATTCTCAAATATTTATTTATAGTAATAGTATTTTTGAGGTTATGGGTTCAAGTCTGAAGGCAACCACTTTGTGTACTATGTCAAAGGTTAGGTGTGTACCCAATCTTTCCCCTCCCAAACACACATTAATGTGTATTAATTGGGCGTTGTTTTTTAGTAATAGTATTTTTTATTATACCAATTTGGTATAGTTGACATGTTTGTAAATCCATAATGCATCCCAAATATTTGCTGGTTGGCAGAATTTGACAAAATTGGAAGTTGCTTGATAGATTCCATTGGGTGATAAATAAAATGAGTTTGCTAGATGCATTGTTGTTGTGCTTTTACAGGTCCTGCATCCGCAGTCCATGAGGCCAGCAAGAGAATGTGATATTCCTGTTAGGGTTAAGAATTCTTACAATCCTAAGGCTCCAGGTACACTCATCACCAGAACAAGAGATATGAGTAAGGTTTGTAGCATGAAACTCTGTAGAAATGAAACTGATTATTTTATATGAAACTTTAAACAGCTTAAATTATGCACAATTACTAACTAGCATTGTCGTGAAACGGAATGTGACCATGTTGGATATTGTAAGCACTTGCATGCTTGGTCAATTTGGCTTCCTTGCCAAGGTAAATGAGCTATCTGATATATATATAGTGCATTTTGTCTTGTGGTTGCCTTCATTACTTTTCTAAGCTTTAATGATGTGCATGGTAGGTATTCTCAATCTTTGAAGATTTAGGCATATCTATAGATGCTGTAGCTACAAGTGAAGTTGGTATTTCCTTGACATTGAATCCATCAAAGCTCTGGAGTAGAGAACTGATTTAGCAGGCAAGCGTACAATATTGTGCTTATTGTATCATTAGATTTATTACTTTTCTATTTTTCATCCCCCACACCACACAGATGATCTCATTGAATGCATGGACTCATTTAATGGGTGCACATGTTGGTACTGTATGTAAAGAGTGTGATAACATGAGACCCTAAACTTCATCAAATACACCATGCACACCTTATGCTTACAATCTTTCCAGCATTGGGTATAGTTCTAAGGTTTTACTTTTGCTTCATGCTTTAACTGTGAATTTATTTCCTTATTTGGCATTTTATCTTCTTTGAACAGGAGCTTGACCATGTTGTGGAAGAACTTGAAAAAATTGCAGTTGTAAATCTCCTTTAGCACAGATCAATCATCTCTCTTATTGGGAATGTTCAAAGGTCGTCACTGATATTAGAGAAGGCACTGCAGCATATAATTCTGTTTTGAGTCCCATTGGACTTGTTTTTTGTGGTATTTTGTGTTTTGGTGAGACTCGTCTGGATTACTGTCACGACCCAAACCCGGCCCTATGGGTTTAGCACCGTAACCGGCCAGTAATTCGAGATTACCGAAGGCCTGCCTAACAGTAATCCAGTAAAATAGAGTACAGGGCCTGGCGGAAGCCAAAACAATAAATAAACAATGTCCAATGAGCTGTGACAGTCTACACATACAAGTACAATCATTCAGAACAGGGATCTAATCCCTAATAAACGGTACAGTAATAGTCTATACAGTCTATACAGTAAACAAAACAGTTACAGGGACAGACGGGGAATATTAAAACACCCCAAAGCCGAAGCTTGAACGGCTTAGAACCTCACAGTGAGGCACAGTGGTTGGCTGACAAAACAAAAGCTTGCCTGACGCTCCTAGCAGCGGTCTGTGCAAAACAGATTATCAAGAATTGTGTTTTGTTCTCTTCTGGTAACTCTAGGTTGAACCCATTCTATTGTTGTATCTGCAGACATGCAATCACTGAATGTTGTTTTAATGGCCTGAGTTTGTGGAAGATAATTTTCAACATGTTTTTATTTCATCATCTGTTTAAGACATCTGTTTTTTTGTTGTTGTTGTTGTTGTTGTTGCCAACCAGGTTAACATCTCACTGATAGTACATGATAGTGAAGCAGAACAATGTGTGAGGGCTCTCCACTCTGCCTTTTTCGGGAGTGATATCTCCGAAGTAGATCGGGAATGTGGATCTCAGAATGGTTCTATCTCAATTTTGCGAAATGGATGTTGGCTAGTTTCTTGACCGTGATCAGACATAATTGTTGTCTTTCTAGATATGGTTACGTTTTAAACCTGGGGGTTCACTATTACCGTAGTTTAGGCTGTAGTATGGGAACTATTCATGGATCTAATGTCCTGCAAAGTCTTAGATTCCTGTGCTTATTTCATAACTAGATCAAAGTTTTTTTTTTTTTTTTTTTGGGGGGGGGGGGGGGGGGGTGTGGTAAGCAACTGGATATATATTATTCCAAATAGTTTGTTATTTTTTTT